TCTCTCTCTCTCTCTCTCTCTCTCTCTCTCTCTCTCTCTCTCTCTCTCTCTCTCTCTCTCTCTCTCTCTCTCTCTCACTTTTCCCACGAAAGCGTTTCGCGACACTTTCACGATCTCTCCGGAATACGGTTTTGCCAGGTGCAGGTTTGAATTTGCACGCGCGCAACCTTCCTTCCACGCAACAACGAATTTAGATTCCCATCGCGAGATGTAATCGCGACGAGCGAATTTGATCGGCCGTCCCGTCACAAAATTGACATAGTAAATAAATGCGCTCGCTATAAATAAGCATGATTAACGAGCTCATAAATAAATTTTGCACGTGCGACGCCTGATAATGACGCAGCGAGGCATTTAGTATTCATGCGAAGAAGGTGACTCATAATCCTACCTACCTATCGCGCCGGCATATAACGGGTGTGAATTAAGATCATAACGTCAAACGGCGACGGCGATAAGAAAACCGTGCGTATCCGATGGAAAAACCCGGTCTTGTCTGTTAATTAAGTGGTTAATCCAAAAAAGAGCAAGAATACAAAAACCAGATCCTATCGGGATATCGTAAACATCTACCGGGTGCCGCGTCAGCCATGAGTATTTCGGGATGAAGTTCTTTGGAACTGATTGAAAATCGAGATTAGCTTAATTGATGACGATGACTTATAGAATAGTACACTGATTATATTTGACTAATATATGTAAAATTGTTAATTTTTTGTTGTTTAATACACAAGACAAATTTTTTTAAATGTATTATACATATATAAATGTTGCTTGCTATTAGCAATTCTATAAATTAATTAAAATTAATTAAGAAGCCGTTTAAGTTAATCGGAACTTGGTTCCGACTCTGAAGTTTTACGTGGGCACGGTCTGTAAAATAATAATTACAACAGATCAATAATTACTATTTCTAACTATTTCTAAGACATATAAAATATTTTCCAGGAATTATCAATGTAGAGCGTATCTACATTATTCAAGGAGAGTGCGAATCTTCATTATTTGAAAAAAAAGCGGATAGCTTTCTGGGAAGCTTGATATTTCTTGTTTACCGAGTTCCACATATTGCGTGTTTATTCGTTACTTTAATTGCCTTATGATAATTCTATCCGACTTGTATCATTTATTGTTTTTAAATTAATAGTTCTTTTTTTCTAACAAGAGAATTTATTATCGCACATCAATTTACGTTGGTTATCTAGATTACGAAGAATGAAATAAATGATATTTGAAATTTGCGATAGCGCCATCATCTATCGGTTAATTGAATAAATTTTAATCAGATGTGAGAATTATCGATATACGATAAAATAGTATTATTTTATCGATCAGTAAAAGAAATACTTATAACTATACATATAAATATAATAATAATAATAATAATAATAATAATAATAATAATAATAAATAAAAATCAAGCGCGCGCGCTTCATGTGAGCTAAATTTTATTCTTCTGAGATTTATCGTGACAAGATAAAATAAATAAAATTGGTTTTTTAAAATGGGATCCTATACTTTTATATTGATCAATTAATAATTTAAATAAAATGAATTACATTTAAACGATAATATTAAAAAATTTTTATTTGAATATACATTAAATTTTTAAAAAATATTTAAATTATTCTATAGTTTTCAAAACATGTATGCATTTGTTCTATTATAATAAATATTAAACATTACTAAATATTAAATATTAATAAAAAATTCATAACAATATTTTAAAGATTTTTATTTTTTCAGATTTTATATGTAAAACAAAGTAAAGCAGATAAGCCTTCTTGTCCAGTGTTATCCAATAAGTATCTTGGCTATCAGATTATTTAAGATTTTTCCTCGATTCAACAATTTTCTCAAAAGTATTTAAATCTATTTCTAATATATATATATATATATATATATATATATATTTCGTTTAATATTAATTTAAACAAAAAAATTGAGTTTCCCAACACAATATTTTACAGGTAATAATTTATTGCAAAACAATCGCTTTACATCTAGTAATTCTTGGATCTATCATTAAAAAGTTACTATACAGGATTGATTACAGGATTTATTTTTGTGTACTAGTAATCTATCTAATCACACTTGACTCCCTTTGCCGTTTGTGTTAATCCAAGATTATCCAATAACGCCTGCGGACTTGGATCTCTTCCCCTGAATTTCCTGAATACCTCAGCAGCGGGATAACTACCACCCAAGGATAAGAATGTATTACGAAATCTCATGCCCAACTCCTTTTGTTGCGACTTGTCGGATTTGATCTCTTGAAAAGCCGTATATAAATCGGCAGCTATCATCTCTGACCAAACTTTGCTATAATTTAACAATAAATTCAATCAATACTTATATAACAAAATTATTAATAATTAATTATTAATTGCGATAATAAACAACAGTTTGTTATTTCATTAATAAATTTCGCAACTTGATATAGTAATTATATAAATATCTGAAATTAAAATATATTTATTGGATAAAATAGATATTTATATGCTATAATACCTGAAATATGCAGCTGCCCAATTGCCACTCCAAATAACATCGAAATTGCAGACATGAACATCTCTTTTTTCGAGAGGCAATACGAAATACTTTGGCCACAAACGTTTCATCATTTGTACCCAAAATGTTTCACTGTAATTTTAATAATATATATAAAATAAGACAACAGCGATGTCACTTCAATAAATCGTCGAATCGTTATGTTGAGAAAAAATATTTTATTTACTTTGTAATTTTAGTATTTGATAACGCATAAATAAGATATAAATATTCAAATAATGTAGTTATGTTAAATGATTTAAAAAGAGCTTTAGAATTTAGGATTCGTTCAACAAATCCTAATTTTTTGTAAATTAACACAGACCTGGAATGCAACTCCAGATCCAAATGTGACAGATAAAGTTCCTTGCAAAGTTTGTAGCCGGCCAAATGCGATCTCATCCTTTTAATGCTTTCAATAGCTTCCGCGGGTAATGGTTCATTTGTTTCATAATGTTTTGAAATCTTTTGTAATATAAACGGTTCGTACAGCCTGTTGAATATATGAAATAAAATTAAATTATCAATATGTATTATTACATTAACTTCTAAATTAAATAATTGCAATATTAAATATAATATAAAAATATTAAAAATACGAGAGTAATCGAATGAATGGAATAAATTAAAAATAACTTATTTTATTTTATACCAGTTCTCCATAAAGTAGTCGCAAATGAACACCGCATCCCATTCCACAAATGATAATCCTGCAATATCCGAATACTCAACTGTAGTTAGCAAATGTTGTAAACCATGTCCGAACTGCGATGTGCCAAAAAAATTATAAAGAATTTGTTTTATTAACAAATAAAATATACAATACATATATAAATCAATTATTATGCTTATTATCTTATAAGCACAATGCGTATTACCTTCTGGAAGAGAACCTGCACATCTCTAAAGGAAAGCAGAGAGGGTTTATCGCCTACCGGCGGTGGAAAGTTGAAAATTAGGGCAATCAATGGAGTACTATTGCCGACTTTACTTTTACTCTTAATTGTGGATATCCATCCCGAGTCCTGTTCCTTACGGAACTTCTCTGCTCCTCTGGCATAAGGATCTAGGTAGAAATTCGCAATGGGTACTGTGCTAGATATATTCAAGTCGAATATGTTAAAGAACCAGACATCCTTGTGCCAAATATCTGCTTTTTTGCTCTCAACGATTTTCACGTTAAAGAGAGTCTCGATGTGCTCGAAAAGACCCGACAGAACAGTCGGCAACGGAAAATACGGCCTCCATTTGTTTTCGTCGCAACTGAACAAGCAAAGAAAATTAAATACTTGAATACTTAGAAATTTTAAATAATATTTCAATTCTCACAAAGCATTTCATATTTTTGTATTCAAATAATTATACTTTGGAACGATTTTAGTATAAACATGTATAAGACAATATTTCCTATGCTAATTTGCTTACTTGAACATGTTGCGACGTTGTTTTCTACCCCAGAATGCAATATCCCATACCCTTAGAGTGTCATCAAAATCCCTCTCCTTTGCAAACTCGGTTAAACTTGCGATTTCTTGTTCCTGAGCCGGAAACGCTTTAGAAAAACATCAGATAGTTATTAATCAATTAATATAATCAATATAATCCAAGATCTATTATTCTATTATTAATCTATTATTAGCATATTCATAATTATCTATCGTTAGCATATTCATAATTATAGTAATATATTAGGACAAAAGTATATTAGCTTCTCAATATATTTAATTAATAATGTTAATGAAATATTAATGATTTTTTATGATTTTATTAACAAGTTAATTATCTCATAAAATGTAATAATCCATCACTGTTCTATCATATTTCTTATTTATAATAAATTAAATGATTACCAGTACTCCGAAGAATTTCTAATGTGTTGTGTAGATTCTCTAGATTACCGGCCATTTTTGTTTCCATACTCATCTCCGCATAATTTTTGAATCCTAAACGTTTTGCTTGTTCGATTCTTCTTGCTCGAAGTTCCTCCAATGTTACACTGGCCTGAACGGATCTCTCTTGATAATTAGAGCATCGAGTGACATCGGCATCCCAAATCGCTGCCCTCAATTTACGATCAGGACAATATTCTGATTGAGGAAATATATATTAGTTGAAATTGTATTGTAGAACATTAATAAATTTTAATTTGTTTTTTAGTGAAAATATCAAAAACATGTACCCATAAATGGTTGCAGGATATACGGCTTTAAAGTGATTATCCAAGGGCCTGCATAAGGTTGTGTAGGATTGAGCGCAATGGATTTGAGATAGTTTTCTGGAAAATCCTCCACAATATGTTTATTTTGTATCGTCATACTGTATACAGCTGTAGAACTCTGAAAAATATTAAATATTAAAAAATCAATTTGTTGCCTTTCCTGCAATAAATTGCAAATGTTCACTAATATATGCCAAATATGTTGCAATGGCAAAAATAAAATTTCGATAATATTGTTTCTTTACAGATAAAAAAATCTTTGTGAGTTTTCTCGAATTTCTTTGTTATAATTATTATAATTATTATAATTATTATAAATTTATTTCAGATTACTTGACAGACCTCGTATTTCGCCTTATACTCCTTGATTTTCGACATGATATAATTGAGATCATCTGAATACATTTCAAATTCTTTGTCCTGCAATTGCAAGCCGTTCAAAGTTCCCTCTAACACATATTTGGTAAGCACTCTTTTCTGCGAATGTGTCAATTTGCTGTCCTTATTATCCAGTGCTTCCTTGCATGCTTTGAAAAGTGGCTTACTACCAAATTTACTAGCTATAGCTCTTGTGGCACGTTCATGAATACCAACATAACATTTCGTTGGCATCAGACTTTGATTGCCAAAGTACAAAGTCTTTGCTATACCCCAAGTGGTCTCCAGAGGAAGATATGCTTCCTCTATTGGATGCAACCAATCGTTAAATACATCTAAATTTTTCCTCGCTGTAAAAAAATTATGAGAATTAAGGATCAAGATCATAATTAGATATCAAATTCACATAGTAATTGTTCTATTATTGCTATTAATAACTAAAGTTTTATAATAATTTCTTATATTCTTATTTTTATTTTTATTTTTATTATTATTATATTCAAAATTAGATATACAATAATTTTATAATATTAATCATTAAATTATGCTATCAGCACTGAAATAAATTTAATTGGTACTTTCTTAACTATATTTAATTAAAATTTTCAAGTAAGATGCTTTAATACTGATATTTAATAAATCATATGTTACCATTAGCTTGACAATTAATATTTACTTTCTACTTTTTCTAGGCTTTTCATCTTTTCTTCAAAATCTACAGTTTGTTTTCCAATGGCTGCTATGCATTTCTCAATTGTAATTGTATTAAACTCTGGTAAATTATCATTTTTTAACAAAGGATTCTTTTCCGATGATTCTTCACCTATTTCTGGAAGTCTTATCAAAGAATTATAAAATTACAAATGATTCATTTATATAAATATAAAAAAATTAATTTAGATATGAAACAAAAATAATCAAATATAGAAAAATTTAAAAAAGAGCAAGTATGTAAAGAAAGTAAAGAAAGATGTATAAGAAATAGTCATATACTTTGAATAATATACAATACTTTGAATAATTACATAAATTAATATATTTAATATATTAATAACGATATAAATATATTGGAGGTATATAAGTTACATATAAATTACAAGACATATATTCAGATTATATAACATTTAAAAATATAATGTAAAAAATATATTAAATAAATTACACATAGACACGTAATAAACGATATAAATATGTAAATGACACCAAAAAATGTCAAACAACATAAAATAGATTCAAAACAGATTCGTGTATAAAAATATAAATAAAACTTAAATTCCAAAGAATAAAAGTAAATTGAAATGTATAATGAATCAAAAATTTAAAAAACACAATAAAAATGCATGATTAAACGTTATAAGAAAAATATAACGAAATAAGAGAAAATGCTGAGAAGTACTTGTTGAGAGAAACGTGAGTTCGGTAACACTTAACCTCCATGTAATAACAGAGATCGAACTTACAGGACTATATATCCGTGTCGTTTCGGAATTTTCAAAAAATTCCGTCGCGTTGAAGCGATTCGCCTCCCAAAAAAGGACACCGCCATTTTACACACAGACGCTTCCTCTTAAAATAATATTAGAAGTTCATTGCAATTTAATTGGAAAGAGGAATATTTCAATTTAACCTAAAAACCGCTGCAGTCTATGGTGCATCGATATATCGAATTGATATCGATAGTGAAACGTATGTACACGTGATTACAATTTAGATTTATTTATCGACGATTAAAACCCTCTGCGCACAATCGAGGAACAAGAATAGAAATTAAGAATGGGAAACGAGAATAAATTTTTTTTAATAAAAATTAGAGTTTCTTGCACTATATTTTGCAATTAAAATTTAGATAAATTCTATTAATTTGTATTGCAAAGTATAGATTTGCGAAGTAGAGACACATCTACTTCGTATTACGAATAATTGTCATAATTAATATAAAGAAAATTATTCACATTAAATTATTCACGGCTAGATGGGAAAAACTAGATGAGCGCTAGATGGGAAAAACTAGATGGGGGCTAGATGGGAAAAACGAGATGGGGCTAGATGAGAAAAATTAGGTGGAGCTAGATGGGAAAAACTAGGAATGGGGGGCTAGGATGGGAAAAACTC